ACCTAGGGATGCTTCCAGTCTAATATGGTTGATATCCATCACTTAGTTCCAGAGAAGAAGTCGCTTAAAGCAATATAGCCAAATAACCCTTTTTGGTCCCGCCCCCCAGCCCCCTGGGAGGTCAGCCCCACCATTTGTACAATTTTGAATCCCTGCATCCCATATATGCTTTTGATTAAATATGATTGATATCAAGCCCATAGTTCTACAGAAGAAGTTGTTTGTAGAAATAAAGCCAAATTACCCCTTTTTGGCCCCGCCCCTCAGCCCCCTGGGGGGTCAGCCCAACCATTTGTACAATTTTGAATCTCCACAACCTAGGGATGCTTCCAGTCTAATATGGTTGATATCCATCACTTAGTTCCAGAGAAGAAGTCGCTTAAAGCAGTTTAGCCAAATTTCCCCCTTTTTGCCCCGCCCCTCAGCCCCCTGGGGGGTCAGCCCCACCATTTGTACAATTTTGAATCCCACCACCTAGGGATGCTTCCAGTCAAATATAGTTAAATTCCAATCAGTGGTTTAGAAGAAGAAGTCGTTTAAAGAAATTGTTGACGGCCGGACGCCGGACGCCACGGTATGGCATAAGCTCACCTTGGTCCTTTGGACCAGGTGAGCTAAATATATGTTCAAAAATTGTCTGGTTTGTATTCCAGAATTTGCCAAATTGTATGTAACTGTCTGAAATGTCTGGTAGGAATGTGTTTAAATTATGGAAAGACAAAGAACAAGAACAAATCAAAATTTGTCAGGTATATAATCCCAAATTTCACTACAAACACCGCCACCGCAATATTGAACAGGGCAATTATGCAGCATACCAAAATTGAATTTGCATAGATATTTGACCTTTGACCTTCGTTGGACACTTAAACCAATGAGCTATCTGACAGGTAATTGACACAGTCCAGATCAGCTTCATTGTGTCAAAACACTATGAAACATGTTTGGATAAGTTTAGAGAAGAAGATTCTCACATACCTGATGTTGTTTGCCATGTCTGCAGATTGATAGTCGATCAAGACATTATCAGTTTTAATGTCGTTCAGCAACACTTGTTTCTCATGGATCATCTTCATTCCCCAGAACAGCTGATAGACCGTAGCAACCCACTTTCTATCGGTAAATGACCGGGGGCGGTCATTCAGCAGGTTCTTCAGTGTATAGCCTTTAGCGAAGCATTCTTGTACAAGGGATACATCCTCAGGTATGAAAGGAGATACCATGAGTCCCAGACATTGTGGCACAAACTTTGTGGACTGCAGATAGAGCAACAGCTTGGCCTCTTGGTGGATATCGTACAAAGATGTGCAGTTCTCTTCATACTCTTTGACACACAGGTCCATTGTTATGGTGCAGTGTTTAGCGAAGTACACACATCCAAAACCTCCTCTGCCGAGAACTACACTATCGCTCTCTGTTTTTTCATAGGTGACATCATGATTTTGTACAACAGGGATCTTGATGTCATCCAGTGTGACTGGAATATCTCTTGAAGGGATGTAACCATACTGAGGGAAAGGTGAAAATGGTGACAGATACTTCTCTAGTTGACCTTCATACGGTATATCCTTGTGGAACCTACAAAAGAGAATGGTTTTATACAGAAATAAATAAAATTAACATTTATTACTCAATAACAACTTGTTACTGTTTACAGCTGATAACATATATTCTCCATTCAAAATCTATTTACTTAGTGTTGGCACTATAGCCTTTTAAAAGTTGGTCCCACATCGGCCATTATTGAAAGATTTAAGGTTGCACAAATCTCCCTTTCTTTATTCTTCTTCATTTGACAATGGTTTTCTCGGGTTGACAATATTCACTGTCACCTGCTAATGAATGTCATATCTATTTTGTTACACCAAAAGTCTTTGTAGCTCAGAAACGGCAGTGAACCTCGATAATGACATTTTGTTTGTTGATAGTCTGCTGTTTACAATCACTATCGCACCGGTGCTTGATAAAATTGGCTGTTGCCGTCAAACGTTCTTGTGACCATCACAGTGAGGAAACGAAGCAGTGAACGCACATTTCTCGCGCATGTGATATTTTTCACTGTCTCATGGCAATATTACCCGCGCCTCTTAAAACCAATGTATTTTCGGGCGTGACAGAGATTTTTGTTTAACTTTCTCCCAACCAATCAAATAGCTAGAAATTCACTTGAGGTGTAACAAAATTAATTATTTACACTGATGCTTATTTTCACACATCAAATTTCATGGAGGAAATATTGAATGCATGATAAATGAGGTCAAAGACAAAATATTATTATTAAGGATTTGAATTGTAGAAGTTTGCAGTAATGTATAATTGCATATAAAGCAGTTAAGATATTTAATATTCCTTTAAAACAAATGGGACAGGAAGGTCACTTTAAGAACATTATACATTATGACTAGATGCACTTGGTCTTAAAACCAAATCTATGCTTATAATCAAGATTGCTTCTGGTGCATGGTGTCACTTCAATAAAAACCTCATGGCAAAATAAGAACCAGGGGTGGAACTAGCTACTGGTCCACTGGCCTGTGGCCATTGGTTTACCAGGCAGACCAGTAGGGTTTTCAACAATCGATCCCACTGAGCCAGGAGGTATTTTGTAAATTTATCTAAAATTTCAGCAGATTTGAAAAGTTTTTTTCTAAGCAAACTTCTACATTTCAAAAATTCTGGTGGGCCAAGGGGGTCAGAAGAGTATCGAGTACCTTTTCGCACCTGCTCGGGCCAGCAGCCCTCGTTATCTTGACCAGTGCACTTCAAACAGGACCAGTGAAATTTAACTTCAACTGGCCCTTTGGACTAGTAACCGTTTTTTTTTAATTCCACCCCTGAAGAACCATACTTCAGTTAAGTTGTTATTGTTAAAATCCTGCGACCTGTCTTCAATATCAAAATCTACACTGAGAAGTAGCTGAATACATGAGAATAGGCATTTTTTATCAGTGAAGCAAGAGTATTGTGAATAGTTCATAAGTAACCAAAGGGGCTTGTATCACTAATAATTTAATATTTGACCTTGGTGACCTTGAAATCAGTCAAGACAATTTATATGGATGGGACAATTCTTGAGAAGAAGATATGTGTGTCAAAATCATTTAATTTGAACAACTTGCCAGCTGCAAACTATGCCATTGCTCAACGCCAATGTACCCAAACGAAACAGTAGCCAAAATGGGACACTTGTGGGAAAACGGCCCAAGAAACTGTCCCACAAAATTTGGTGAAGACATTGAGGTTAAAATAGTTAAATTTTGGAGCCAAAAGTTCTCAACCACACAGGATACATGGTCCGTATTTTGTTTTTGTTTTGTTAACCCCTTGATTGCTTGACTTTGCAATGAGAAATCACATTTTTTCAAATCGTCTTATATATGTGTTTTACTCATGAGCTGACGCCAAATATCATCTAAACCTGACCCTGTACCCTTCCTCTTAAAAACAGATATTTCTGGGTATTCTGCACATGAGAAAATCCTACTGGTACCTTTAGTTGCATCACAGAATTAGATTAGATCAACCACCTGGTCAAATATTTTGGTTTTGGCAGTACTCAAATTGTTTGTTCAAACAATCTGAATTGTCCAGGTAAGCAGACTTGGAACTAGCACTAGACAGAAAATTACTATTTTCATTATTCAAAAAGTGTGTTCGAATTACTATTTACCAGCCTATTCGAACTGACCAGAGGTTTACTGTAGTAAATAAGTGGGGGTTTTAAAGGATACATACCTCATTATATCTCCTTGTGACTTTCTCTTTGTCCTCTCTATGACATTGTGGGGAATTTTTGGAATGGCGGCTGTAGCCCCCTGGCGGTCCCCGCTATCAAACTTCGGAGAAGACTGGTGGTATAGTAAATCGGCTTCTTGTGTCCCTTCACCACAATCCTTTAGGGAGGCTTGTGTCCCTACACCACAATCCTTTAGGGAGGCTATCAGATCATCAAACTCACTGAAAAGCAAATTTCCGACAGATTACAAAAGATGCTTAATTATTAACTTCTGTTTCATGAAAAACATTAAATATGACTTCATAATAAAAATAGTTGTACAGTATTTGTATGTATTCATACCTCAATTCTTTAACATGCTTAATTTACCAGGTCAATTTAAAATATAACTGTTAGATGCACAGACAAGTTTGTACCAAACCATATATATATATATATACCAGTTCAAGTCAATTGCCCATAGTTGATTAATGATTATTAGTTATCATTCAGCTAATCTACACAAAATAAAAGAAATTCAAATGCAGTCTTACCTGGTGGTGAATTGAACAGACCTCGTCACAAACCCATGTACCACTGTAGCCGCTGCTGCAGTCAGCGTTATGATCATACCATTATCCTCCACTTCTACTCGATACTTCTTTGTTTTTAAGTTCACCTGTAATTTAAAGAAGAAAATAAAATATTCCTCCAATTTCACAGGTTCATGTATGACATTCTAGAAACAAAAACAAAAGTGTTTCGATGCCATTGGGAAACTGGGTTTTTTTTTTTTTATTCCTTTGAATTTTTATAATACTTTTGGTATGGTATTGGTAAACTATGAAACATCAATACAAAGGATTCTGTGAGGTGGGACTTTATATTGCATTGACAGGGAGAGAATAAGGTAAATTTTATTTGGACAAAATACATGAATATCTATTACATTACACAAATGTATTATCCTATTACACACCTTAATTGTGTTATAATGATCATTTTGGTCTTGTGGTGGTTGGTCAGAAGGGGTCATCTGTATTCCCACGTCTACACCCATTTGGCCTGCCTGTGTGCTGAATTCTGCTGTCACTGGTCTAGCCTCTGTACCAAAATGAACCATATTTGGTTTGGCCTGTGTCCCAAAATCAGCTGCACTTGGTCTGGCCTGTGTCCCAAAATCAGATGCACTTGGTCTTGCCTGTGTCCCAAAATCAGATGCACTTGGTCTGGCCTGTGTTCCGAAATCAGCGGCACTTGGTCTGGCCTGTGTCCCAAAATCAGCTGTACTTGGTCTGGCCTGTGTCCCAAAATCAGCTGCACTTGGTCTGGCCTGAACGCCACTGTCCATGGTGTCTTGTACTGCCTGTGAAGCCATATCCTTGGAGTTTATTCCTGTCCAGGGTGTCTGAGTTTCAAACTCAGCCATAGATACCCTAGCCTGCGTGGTAGCCGCTGAGGTCATTGGCCTCATCTAAAATGTTACAAACATTTAAAGGTTTTATAACTTATAACTTATGTAAGTACCTGATAACCTAAAATCTTATTGGTTAAGATTAATTTCAATTTCCACTAAGGCCAAAAAAGTATTACTTGTGTTTCCACAATCATTCTCAGAAAAGATAGGGTAAGTAGGTAGGCATATTTTGTTATTGGAAAATATTTTTACTATGCTTATATAGAGCAAGAGTTCAAACTTGATGCATTTCACTAAATGCCAATAAAAACTTCAGGGTAGGCATACACATCTAGGGTAGGTAGGGTTAGTAGAAACACAAGAATTTATTTTATTTGGCCTAATCACCAAACAATGTCCTAATAATGGATGTTCATAAAATAATAATTGATCACTGTCGAAAATTTGAATGGATCACTGTAGCTGTTATATATAACAGAATAAAATAAGATTGTGCAAAACAATGGTTTAGTTAAAAAGGTTATACTATTGACATTTGGTAATGGTATGATATGTAAACATGACATTCCAGAGTGACAATCCTTTGGAATATCCCTTCACCTCAGGTGACAGCAGTATTGTACTAAATGCTATACCCACTTTCTTGGGCTAATCACAATTCTAGAATACACCCAACAGAAAAAGGATCTATGTGATTTAAATTTCTTATTGACCTACTGGAATTTTAAGAAGACAAGACCTTGACCAAGACAATTTTACAACTATATTTATTGTTCAATAACATGAAATAATTAATAATATTCATCATATGAGGTTCTAATGTACCGCAATATCAAAACCTTGATCATAGGTCGTCTCAAAACGGTTCACAAATTATTATCCGTGGTTATAGGGCCTTTGTAACCAGCCAATATCTTTCTAAACTCCCTGGAGAGCATACAGCCGGTGCTGCCATTTCGGCACTCACTACTAGCATTCAACAATTCTAGCACTACCCAACCATGTACTCATTTACAGCTGAGTAGACTGGAACAAGAAAAGTGAAATATCTTGCTCAACACAATGGCGTGCTGTGACTCGAACCCACAACCCTTCAGTCACGAGCCCGACATCCTAACACAAGACTACCGTGCCTCAAATGAAGAAAATGGGTAATATAAAAAAGAGATGTAATTTCACAGAGGACTTTTTCTATCTCTACTGTACATTATTCAATCATATGTGTATACATCATAGGAAATAATTCATAGACATTTTGGTCTATGAAGTGAATGATTCCTATAGACCTTCACTGTTTTTTCCACTTTTATTGTCTATGAACCTACTGTTAAGTTAGAACACTGTAATCAGATTGATTTTCAAAGATTTCATTCAAGATGTGCAGGAACCCAGGCAATATGATGAGGACTCCATTGATTGAATTGAATACCCAGCACTACAGATGGTAGTTATTTTCAATAAATACCTTCTCATAGATGTTTTGCTTAACGAGTGATGGCACATCACATGTTTCCATTCCAATACCAAGGTCTGCGAGACAGTCTTGTCTGTTTCTCTCCATCACCAGGTCTTCATAAAGGCCTTTCCCTTGTTTTGACACATATCTCCATGCGTCACCATCACTCTGCCTTCTGTTTGGACTATACACAGAATATAGTTCATCTCCTAACCCTACAAAAATGTCACCATCGAGACATTTGTTGTAGGTGTCGAGGAGTTTTTCAAAGACATTGTCTCTTTGCGACTGAAACATAAAAAAAAATGCCAACATGTACTTTATAACAACTGAAGTCATGACTTCTGATGCTTGATTTACTGTTGTAGATTCAAGATTCTTTATCAGGAAAGCTATCATTCTAGATAACATACATTACATATAATAGTATACAGGCACTGAAGTTCTGTATGCATTTATATCTACATCGTGTATGGAGCAAATGAAGGACTACTGTACATCATTTGTTTTTAAAAGCGAAAATTAAAACCTTTCAAAAATCAGCATTATCTCTCAAGTCAAAATGAATATTTTTTGATAAAGTTAAGAGACAAGAAGAATGAAATCTGTTCTTCTATGTAGATGTTTCTGTACAATTATATCTTACTATCTACCAACCCAGTTTTTATTTCCTTATGTTTACTTGGCTGATTGTAGTAGTCCGTTCAAAGCATCAAATTAAAGTTCAAAGCATCAATTTAAAGTTCAAAGCATCAATTTAAAGTTCTCATCATCTAAATGATACTTGTGCAAACTCATGTCAAATCAATTTAGAAACCTTGTTCAGAGTTGAAAACAAATATATAATTTTGACTGAAGCATTTCTGATCAGTAGCAAAGCAATACACAATATTCTGTCAATATTAACAAGTCATACATTGAAATTATACATAAATTTCAGTTGATGTAAATTTCTCTGATCGATTCATTATCTCATAGTCATAGTAACTTAGCCAATATGCAAACATCAATATGTAGTTTAAGGCTTGTTTTGAAGTCTCTAGAAATATTTCCTTAACTGGTATATTACAAAATTTGTGTTTTGATTTGATATATTATTTATTTGAAGTAAAATTGCATTATATTTCCGTTTTCATCAACAGAAGAACAGCTGAATCATGTACATCGCCATATTGTTTGCCATAACAATGATAACCTGTCAACCATTAAATGATTAATTACACTTGCATGAGACAAAGTTACTCACCTGCTGAATAGTTATGCTTTCTATCCACCTGGAACTATTTAAGCCACAGACTCTAGGGACAGAACATGTTCTCTTTCCGAATATTTCAGTGTCTAACACTGACTTATTCGTCTTGTAATCCATCCTTCTTTCCCCAAATAGAAACCCAGCCATTTTGCTCGCGGCCTCTATCGTTGCTGAGGAGTCGCTCGTATCTTAGCGCCAGCTGAACACTAGTCTTTGTCACCAAGACGCTCGTGCTACTAGTAAGCTAAAATGTCGGAAAGGACAAGAGTCTGGATGATACAATGTCCGAAGCGCTATCTAGCGGATAACAATAAAAGTACGGCAGGTAATTATAAATCGTCCAAAGTGTCACGCCTTTATGCGTCATATAGCTACATGTTATGTGTTGACGGATATATAATAATACACAATAGAGCGAAGCATTGACCGTATTGTGTACTGTAGCGATTAATCTACCCTGTGGGTAGTGGGGTGTCGTTCTAAGTGGGATAAATGCCAAATGAGGAAGTTGTGTCTTTTTAATGATTTAATTTAATTATGTAGATAATGGATTAACAGTGCAAAAAGTAAACAAAAATGTTATCACTGATAAATGGTGTTTAACATGCATTTTGATTGAAGCATAACAGTTACCAGATACCAGGGGGGGGGNAATGTCGTATCTGGGAAACCCTTTAGTCTGATTATTAACAAGTTTAACTCGACTTTTTATATGAATAATATTACATTTTGTACTTCACTAAGTAACGTCACAGTATATCAATATATCAATACCATACTATCAGTTCCAAATATGTTTGTTCATTTTTCATAGATAGATAGGCCTACCATGTACTTTTCATATCTAGGCCTATCACAATTTGATATTTAGGGGGCGTGGTTATAAAAATAAAACCGCGAAATATCATCAGAATCCTGGGTTTTAGTGAATATTTTGCTGTGATCTACAATGTCTATTCCCTCTAGGATCTTGTATGTTTGGATCAGGTCAGCTCGGTGTCTTCTGTACTCTAGAGTAGGTCATCCTAGATGGCGCAGTCTCTCTGAGTAGGGTTTGTTTGCTAGACTGGGAATTAGACGAGTTGCCCTCCTTTGTACATTTTCCAGTAGTTTGATGTCTTTTAGCAAATATTCATGGTGTGGGCGGACGAGAGATTTATACAGCGATAAAAACATATTTTTGTCTATAAATGTAAAAGTTCTATAAATGAGGCCTAGATTACTGTTGGCTTTTGCTACAGAAGTTGATATGTGATTTTCAAATTTTGCCTTGCTGTTTACAACGACTCCGAGGTCTTTTTCACTGTCTACTGTACAGATATTGTGTATCTGATCATCCTGCTCGATAGTGTAATGGTGATTGTCCCTCGTCTGTCCAATATTGAGATGTTTGCATTTGTCCACATTGAGTGTCATGAGCCATGTGACGGTCCAATCGCAGATTGAGTTACGACCTGACTGGAGATGGTCTGTATCTTCGTTGCTGTTAATTGTTCTGTAGATTTTTTAATCGTCTGCGAAAAGTTTTGTTGTACTGGAAATGTTATCTGGGAAGTCGTTGATATATATTAGGAAGAGTATTGGTCCTAACACACTCCCCTGTGGGACCCCGCTCGTGACGTTTATTGAACTTGACTCTGAACCGTTCACTACCACTTTTTGTTTTAGGTTCTTCAAAAAGTCTTCTATCCAGTTGAGTGTTTCGCCTTCCACACCAAAACTCGAAAGTTTATGTAGTAGCCTTCTGTGAGACACTTTGTCGAAGGCTTTGCTGTAGTCTAGGTACACTACATCAGTTGTCTCTCCTTTGTCTAGCCCTTCCATCCAATCTTCCAGGGATTCTAGTAGTCGGGTTGTGCATGATCTACCGGGTCTAAAGCCGTGTTGGCAGTTCGTAAAGAAGTTGTTTGTTTCCATGTGTTCGAATAGTTTGTCCCTGATGATTCGTTGTAGAATTTTGCTGGCCACTGCAGTTAGGCTTATTGGACGATAGTTATAAGGTTTCTTTTTTGAGCCACTTTTGTGGATAGGTGTTACATTGGCCTCCTTCCATGCTTTAGGTAATTTTCCTTCTTGGAGTGATTTTTTAAACAGTTGTGTTCATGGCTTCTTTATTTCTGATATTGCCTCAACGTATAGTTTTGGATGCAGACCGTCTGGACCAGGGCTTTTGGTGGGATTGACCTTTTATATTGCTTTTTGTACAAGCTCTTCAGTTATTTCAATCCTGTTCAGTGGATTCTAGTAATCTCACACGGGGTAGGGAAAGTCAGCTGACACGCGCTATGACGTCATAAATGAATTGTCGACGTGACATCATTGTATTGTTTCCGTGATGTCATACCCCTTGTTGCGAATGGGGAATCCTCCTTCTCAACCCTATGTTTTGTGGTTTTGGCGGAAGAATCAAATCGATGTTAATTTGTAAGTATGTGAGAAGACCAATCAAACATGGGTCTGTTCCATGCATTCGAAACACCTCGCCCAGTTCCATCCAACGTTAGATGACCGAATCGGCCGAGAAGTTCCGAGTGCTGTTCCATGGACAGAGATATCTAGCTAAACCCGATATATACAGGGATATCTCAACAACAAAACTAAAAATATAGAAGATCAGGTTTTGTTCAATAAATATCGAAACCATGTACAGAGAATGTGTAAAACTGCTAGAACTCAATATTTCATCCCGAGGGTTTGAATAACCTTATCCTTACCTCACATCAGGGATGGATTCTATTTCTTGCTTATTACCTAAAACCCGTAAAAAAGGCTGCTCTTCTAGTAAAGTTGTAAACTGTCCGCACATTTTTCATTTGCATATGAAGCCCGGATGTCAATTCTTAGTGACGTCAATGACCCTGACTGACCCATAAACGTCATAAAATGACGTCACGAACAATAGTGTGACTCGGCAAAGCCTCGTGTTTGGCAACTTAAGAATCTTCCCCCTCGGGTTGAGATTCTCTTATCTCACCCCCAAGGGGGTGAAAGATTCTGTTAATCTCACACCCGAGATATTCTATTAATCTTTTCTCTACCAACAACGGGATCACCCTGTGAAGTATGTGAGAAATCTCCATCACGCCCGTGTCTATGTCCATCACGCCAATATTCCTTTACTTTTCTCTGTATTTTCAACAGATCAATATGACACGGGTATACATCAACATATAACACAAAATAACACATTTTTTGAATGGATAGTATGGTGTTAAGTACATTGCTATTTACTTTATCTGTTCTGCCCCAATTATCGGGCGCTTCCAGTTTTTTTGCTGTAGGCTACATAATTTGTCTTACAAAGTATCTCAAGTTATAGTGCTAGCATGCCACATTTTTGTGTGTGATCTTAGCAAAGCCATAATGTAAGCTTATCCATTGATTAAGATTCATTAATGTGTTAATTATGATGTATTTGGTGTTCGTTGCCCAAATTATTTTTATAGTGTTGTCAGCAAAAAGCCTGTGTTTTCGTAAAGTTCTCACAATTCTAAAACTTTGTAAACAGAGTTCGTCAACTCGCCCCCAATCTATGTATTTATATAACTACGTGGTTTGTCAGGTTTATTTATCAAATTGTCTGATAGTTATCAATTGCTAGTCAGTAATTGTAAATTGTATTTGTTAAAGTTTTCACTGAATAAAATCTGGAATACACATCCCAGAATATTTTTTAAAAAGTGTCCTGTTTTGGGAACAGTAATGTTACTTGATACTCTTCTGACCCCCCACCAGATTATTTTAAATCTAGAAGATCTGGTATATGATGGGCTTAAAATAAAGCTTTAAAAATCTGCTGAAATTTAAAATAAATTTACAAAGTATCTACTGGCCTGGCGGGATAGTTCGCTGAAAAATCTACTGGTCCATCAGGAAAACCTCTAGCCATGGACTAGTGGACCAGCGGCTAATTCCACCCCTGATACGTTATACTGTATAGCGGTTATATTTTGCGGGGTTTTAAATTTCGCTGTATTCGGGCTTTGACTAATATCCGCAAATTCTAAACATCAGCGAAACTATCAAAACTATTATCCGATTTTAAGGACCTTACACAACATATTGAAAATACTTATGACCCAACGCTGTTCTGCAAGCTTATAATGAACTCAAATCAGATTATCACTGGACAACTGGCCAGTCCATGCAAAAACAATGTTTACATATAAGTGGTCATAACATACTTATGTGTACACAGTGGGTGATTGATCTATTACAATGTACTCCTACAAAGATACTTACACATTTGATTTTCTTTCGAATGAAGTCACTGGCGGATGACGACGCTCGGGATCCATGTTTTCAAACGGTTTACCTGTATTTCGAGGTTTAACCCTTAAATGATCACACTCAAAATACTTTGCACGGCATATCGGATTCGGGTGCACAGCGAAATTTAACCCCTGCAAATATGAACTGAATAGGAAACCGCAAAATATTGACTCCGCGAATTTTCGTGCCAGGTGAGCTTATTCTTAGACCTAGACTGTTAACACATTGAGCAGTACCATGAATGGTTTTATCAGGGGACAAGTCAATATAAAGTGGTAAGAGTATGCCCAAACAATAACCTTTCTACCATTAAACTGAAAATGAGACAATGAATAAAATTCACAGAAAGGCAAAATTAATTGATGGTAAGGGTCTTATTGAAATAGACTTTAAATTCTCAGGAAACCATTGATGTAATTCATGTCGAGACAAAACAATTATAATTACTGTTAATATGCGTCACTGAAGATGGTAATGCCACAAAATCTATGTTCACAATAAAAATACATTGTACATCCTTTAGAGCAAATTTAAATACTTGCTTAAAGAAAAGATTCAGAAGGGGGAATTCAGGTAAAGAGAACAACTGCATCAGTTACCATTGCAAAGAAGAGTTCATTCAGACTTTTTGGGGTTATTTTGTTTTTACTTTTGTATAAACAGAAGATGAAGCAACCAAAAGGAGTTGTTCAGGCTCAGAGTGAAGTTCCTGTCATTTTTTTTTTAACTTTGCGGTCCATAAACTGGACGCTTATTTTGATGGCGTCTGTTGTATGGCTGTCTGCACGTCTGTTGTGTGTCTGTCTGTGCGTCTAGTGTATGGCTGTCTGCACGTCTGTTGTGTATCTGTCTGTACGTCTGTTGTATGGCTGTCTGTGCGTCTGTTGTGCATCTGTCTGTACGTTTGTTTGTTTGTTTGTTTATGTTTAACGGCCCATCGACGGCTGTGGTCATTTAGGGCCATGGTGATTTATGTATTTATCTTATTTTCTTTAACAAACATGTGAGTAGCGAAGATAAAATCAGATAAAATGGTTCATTTTAAAAGCATTCGCATTGTATGTGTAGATAATAAAAAATGAAAAAGGGAGTTAAAATAATAAAAGAGATAACGAATAGATGATATGGAATAT